GAAGCTGCCCTTGCAGCTTGTGATGAAGACCATGGTGAGGCAGGTTGTTTCCCTGCAGCCCATGGAGGTCCACGGTGGACCTGCAGCCCGTGGAAGGGACCCCATGCCAGAGCAGGCGGATGTCTGAAGGAAGCTGTGACCCTGTGCAGAGCCCGCGCTGGAGCAGGTGCCTGTCAGGACCTGGGGACACGTGGAAAGAGGAGCCCACACCGGAGCAGGTTTGCTGGCAGGACTTGTGACCCCGTGGGGACCCACACTGGAGTAGCCTGTTCCTGAAGGACTGCAGCCCGTGTGAAGGACCCACGCTGGGACAGTTCGTGAAGAGCTGCAGCCCGTGGGAAGGACTCGTGTTGGAGAAGTTCATGGAGAACTGTCTCCTGTGAGAGGGACCTCACACTGGAGCAGGGGCAGCGTGTGAGGAGTCCTCCCCCTGAGGAGGAAGGAGCGGCAGAGACAACGTGCGATGAACTGACCGTAACCCCCATTCCCCGTCCCCCTGCGCCGCTCGGGGGGAGGAGGGAGAGAAACGGGAGTGAAGCTGAGCCCAGGAAAAAGGGAGGGGTGGGGAAAGGTGTTTTAAGATCTGGTTTTATTTCTGATTATCCTACTCTGATTTGATTGGTGATGAATTAAACTTCCTTTTCTCCCCAAGTTCAGTCTGTTTCGTCCATGACAGTAATTAGTGAATGATCTCTCCTGTCTTTGTCTTGGCCCTCGAGCCTTTCATCATACTTTCTTCTCCCCTGTCCAGCTGAGGAGAGGGAGTGATAGAGCGGCTTTGGTGGGCACCTGGCATTTATCCAGACCAAACCAAAAAAAAGATATAACTAAAAAAACCCCAAACCACACATTATTTGTGTTTATCAAGGTACAAATACCCGTGCTTATTTATTGTTGTGCAAAATTGTGTAGAAGTACAAGCCCTAGCATAGCAAATAAAACCTCATGATACCAAAGGTACAACAGTTGCCAGGTTGTGAAATACAGAGGAGCTTCCTGAAATGGTTTTTGGAATTATCATTAAGAAAGAGTAAACTCAACTCTTGGTCACCATGTTTTACACCCATATGTCAGGATGTGTTTTCTGCTTGGTTACTGTAGATCTTTAGGACTGGAAAGTCAAAACAAAGCTGTGGGGCCATCCCTTCAATTGAGAGGTTTTTTATTGGGCTTTCCAACATCATCCAAAGCCCACGATGCTGTCTCTGTGGAGGAGGTGGTGTGGCTGGGGGGGGCGGGTGGTGTGCCGGAGCGTGGCTCTGAGGAGCAAGCCGTTTCACACGGTAGCTGAACCTGGTTAACATCCTGCCATGCCCAGAGAGGCCAAGGTCTTCCCCACCTAGTCTTCCCTCCAGCTGCACCAGCTTCTCTCCCTCCGCAGCACCCTGCCATTCTTTGTACTGGGATCCATCTGATCACAGGGCAGCGAGCCAGCGCAGCTTGCTAACCCAGCAAAAGTGTCCTTTATTTTCTTTTTACCCTCCTTAGCTATTTTTCTGCCATTTTACCAAGCTGGGTTACTGTACTGAGATACCAGAATTGAATTCAGAAGAGACGCGGCAGAGTGTGGTTGGGGAGTAAACGTGAGGAGAAGCGAGATTCTCCTATCTGGCAGTGGTGAGCTGCCAACTCAGCCCACGCTATCTCCTGAACTGCTTAAACATGAATAACCTGAAAGCTTTCTTGAAGTTCTATACAGCCTGAGCTGGAATCCCTTGGGGTCTCTGGCATCCAAGGGAAGGGTGGTATGGGGTGCAAAGAGGCTGGCTGAGCCCAGGCCAGTGATTTTCCTGTTTGCAGCCTTCCGAGGTGGCCTCAGAGTAGCACTGATTTCTCAGAGATGCTGCCCAGTCACCTCTGTAATTACAGCACAGTACTTCTTGTTTCACGTCTGGGTTGTTTCTCAGCTGCAAGAAACTCTGCACCTGTTTCATCTGACTTGGTTTCTTTAAGGCCTGTAGGAATTTATCAGCTGGTTTTCCTTTGCAGTCCTGTTGTTGGAGTACATTGAGGGATCTTTGTTGGTTTGCTTGCCAGGAACTGACTAAGCAGTAAGGGTGTGTATTTCAGAGTTTGGTTTGCTCAGGTCTGGCGAAGAGATGGCCAGCAGCTGTTGGTCTGTTTTCAGCTTCCAAGGCATCAAAGGCTCACTTTCTCTCAATTTTCAGATACCATCCTCCTTGCTGGTCCAGAGAGCTGACTGACAGCACTCCCTCAGTGCTAGCAAGTTGTTTTCCACCAATTTTTCCACATGTGTTGGAAGGCTGAGAGGAGGAATCCTGTCTGTGTTCCTGGAGCACTGCCGTAGGAAGCAGCTGTCTCTCATGGAGCAGTGCCCTGGAGGATTTATGCTGTATCATTCCTTTGTACCTTACAGCAGCTGTTTGGCTGGGTTTATTTTTGGACAGGAGGGATGTGTGTTAGACATTTTGAAGGAACCAAGCTGGTGATCAATCACATTTGTAACTCAGCTGGAAGTTCTTGCACAGGGAGGATGTGTCTGCTGATTGTGTGATGAGACAGCAAAGAGAGCAAAGCAGGACGGGAGCAATGCTGCCTGAGCTGGATGTCCTCTGTCTTTGGAAAGATGGAGCTACCCCATATGGAGTGAGCAAGAAGGCTGCTTTGCCCTGTGAAATGATCAAGCTCTTCCCATAACTAAGGCTCCTTTTGTACAGATGCACGTAGAGCTCCTGGTGAAGTAAATGCAGTGTTGCAAGAACTGTGTAGGCCCTTGGGAATTTACCCTTCACTTTGCCTCTGTCCTTACTGGTATCTTGCTGACAACAGTCACATATAGTCTTCTTCTTAAACAGGATTTTAAACCAGAGAAGAATTTCTTTGTGCTGCTGAAATCTCCTAATTTGTCCTTGCAGTGGGAAAATGCCTGGAAAATGCTACAGAGCAGAACAATACGTTGCTGTGGGATGTACCTGGTAGTATTTTAGGAGAACTGTAGCTTCCACAAAGAGGTGATGTGTGTTTGTTACTGAGTGCTGTCGATTCAATCATTCATTCATTTATACACCTTAACCACCAAACAGTTATGTCAGATAGTGCTTTTTGTCTTGAAGTTGCCCCACCAAAAGTGGGGGGCTGCTGTTTCGAATATGAGGAGTGGGCGGGTGAGGAAAGATGCCATTCTGAGAGGGGAAAGGAGAGCGTGACAAAGAAATGGGATGAGCAGGTGAAAATCCAGATGGAAGAGGCGTGCTTCTAGAAGTGTGCTGACAAGATGCAGCACCCTGCCTGTGCCCAGCGTGGTTCATTTCCAAGCACGCAGGGAGACGGGAAGATGTCAGGCTAGTGGCCACATCTTTTCACCAGTAAGCACTGTTAGGAAGAACAGTCATAAGATGTGATGCTGTTTAGTACTAGTTCCACAATTTGCTGCTGTTATAACCTCAGGAGACAGGCTGGATTTGCAGACCTCTGTTCTCCTGATCCTCTCAATTACTTGGAATCCGCACAGCAAAGAGAGTCTGGATTTCAGGCAACGTCATTGGCATCTGTTGATACTGTCCTCAGTTGCCTTCCTCTGTTTGCCACCAAGTGAAGCCTGGTTGCAGCATTCCTGGGCAATATTTTGCCAGCTCTTTTTCACGTGGATGCATGACATGAGCCCAGCTGGGTGCCTATTGTCTTTCTTTGACTTTCTTGTAAGCTGACTTCAGTTCCTTTTGATTCAGCCTTGCAGTGTGTGCTAGTTGTAGCCTCACTCACTCATGTGCCTGGTGGCAGCCTGCAAATATACTCACTGTAGTGTTTCTTCACGAGAGGTTTTAGAGCCCACATGCCTTTCCAGTGAGTGGAAAGGTTCAGGATGTCTTGGTAGCTCCAGCTGCGAGCCTGGAACAGGCAAGATTCACATTGGCCTAAGGTAATCCTAGCTGCAGAGTGCCACTACTGATTTCCAGGTGTGCACAGCAGTGCATGAATTAGTTTTAACTGCGCACCAGTACTTCAGTGAAGAGGTGACATCTGGGTGTCATGACCCTCGAGCAAGTAAAAACCAAAGTAAGCATGGAGGTTGATCCCACAGGATGGAAAGCATCGCTGAGTGATAGGTGGAAGACTGGTGAGATGAGTACAAGTGCACTCAGGTGAATCGTAGCGCATCGTGAGCTAATGCACTGAAAGCTTATGCTTCTGAGCAAGAACGTGTAGTGCAGTTTTTGGCTGCTGGTGTGTACTAAGAACCGGTGACCTTAGCATACAGAACTTGAGCTTGTAACAAGCCATATATCTTAAAACTTAGCAAATTTCTGCACAGATTTTATTTTTCCTAGGCTTCATGGAAGAAAATTGAAATGAGCAAATACCACGTAAATAAGCTTGAGATTCTTGCAGTAGTGCTAATTCTGTAACTAGTGACAATAGAAACTTCAAGTAGAAAATTCAGCTGCATAATTCTGCAACCTGATTTCTTTCTGAGATATAATTTCCTTAATTTTTATTTTACTTATCATCAAAACTTGTGCTATAGGGTGTTAACATTCCCATTTTCTGTTCTAATCTTTGCAATCCACCAAAGACTTGGCTTGTGCTTTGACTTTATGGTGGTGCTGTGCCCCTCACAAAGTTAATTTTGTAATGTTATATGTTAATAGCCAGTTTTAAACTAGGACTTTGGAGACTGTAATCAGAGAAGTTCTTTTATGCCAGAATAGTAACAATTATGTTAAAGATCTGCCAACAGCACCCTTACTGGTATATAAGTGTATGTATGTGTGCATACGTGTCAAAATGTGCACAGAAATCTAAGCATCAGCACATGTTATGGAAGAGTGATGCCTGTGTTAGCAATCGTATCTGGTCATGACATTGACGAGCAGGAAGATGAACTCAGCAGGGATTCAATTGTTTATGCTGTTGTTAAAGATCTGTTGTCAGCCTGGTAGGTCCGGGGTTTGTGAATGGAAAGGTTTGGGAGCCCCTGCTTTTGAGGGTACCGTATGTTTTGAGGTACTTTCTGTGTCTTTAAGAAAGACAGGTTTGAATTGTAACAGTTTTTAAATAATGTGTGTATTTCTCAAGGTCCGACAAGAATTGGTTGAAGAATATGAACAAGTTAAGAGCATTGTCAACACTTTAGAGAGTTTTAAAATGGACAGACCGGCAGATATCCCTGTATCCTGCCAAGATGAGCCTGTTAGAGATCCTGCTGTTTGGCCCCCTCCTGTTCCAGCTGAACACAGGTAATGAGAGGCTCAAGCAGAGTGGGTGGAATAAAGTTAGGTCGTCATAATTTTGTGTTCTTTTTTGAATGCATTTGTTACCGCAAATCACCTTTCATTTGCCCCTTAGTTGTTTGTAATAAAGAATAAATGTAATTCATTGGGAAAAAAAGTAATTAAATTACAGTCGGATTTATTACTGAAGTTCTAAAGAAAGTCACTCCTTTATTCTGGTAGGAGTGACTAGCTAAGTGCCCTGGAACTAGAGTCTGCTGGAGAGGTAAGTGGGCTTTTGGTGACAGTTGCCTTTCTCATGTGCAGGGAGAAAACTTTTCCATTTCAGTTTGTTTAAGCAGTTGAATTCATTGATGGCTGAAGAGTCAGTAAGGAGCTGGAATTGAAGGATCTTGAAGGACGTGGTGGTTAGAAATCGCTCCCTAGCTACAGATAATGTGACCTGTGTTTAATCCATTGGTTACTTCTATAAGTACCTTTAAGGTAACTTTAGTTAGCTAACAGTTTTCTCAAAACAGATGCTTGTGCATTTCCGAAATCCCTATTTTCACCCTAGTCAAGCTTGACACAGGTTGCTGGAAACAACAAATCCAATTTAAAAACAAGAATAACATTTATAATGCCAACATTTTTCTATTATAATAGCAAGGAATTTAATGTGTGTATACTCATATACGCAAAGCAACAAAGTAAAATGAGAGATCTTTATTAACAGAAAGAAATGCCAAGTTTATTTGTAAATATGTGTGTTTTTTGATTATCAAAAAAATGGATCTTCTCTTTTCAAAAAACCCTAAGAATGTAAGTGTAAAATAATATTAACACTAATTACCTTTGTTAGTTGTAGAAATGATTATCAGAATTTTGGTGGTAATGTTACATGAAGTGCAAGATGTATTTATTATTGTATCTTTCTTAGAGGTGAATGCCCAATAATTCATCAGCTTTTTTAAGCTGAAATTTAAATCTTGTGCAAATAAGAAGGAAAATTAGCCACTTTTCTGTGCTGTTAAGTTTGATAAAAATGTATACCAAGCAAAATGTAGCAGTTGTATCCAGCAGTGTGTTTAACTATGTACTCTTTTTAAGCCATATTCCAGGAAACTGGTTTTGGAGTTAGCAAATTTTGAGCTACTCAGAACAAGAATCGGTAGAAGATTTAACAGAGGACACTAATTATGGTTGGGTGACATTCCTGGCCGTTTATTTTAGTTCTATATTTCAAGTCCAGTCCCTAGAGCAAAATCACTGTGACACCTTGTCTTAAAACAAGATTCTGCCTCCTCATGCCACTGCTGAGTTTGCTTTGACATCGTGGGTGATGCACACGAGTATAGGTGGTTGCAGTTCGGCTCAGTTTGCTTTTGCTTTCTAGGCAATTTTTACGTTTTGACATTTTCACACAGGGGAATGAAGTCAGAGGTAGGAGGATTGCTTTAAAATTCTCCCTCCTTTGTTCTGGGGCCTGTCAAAGCCCCTTTCCCTTTCCCTTTCCCTTTCCCTTTCCCTTTCCCTTTCCCTTTCCCTTTCCCTTTCCCTTGGAGTGTCATCTGGTTGGGTAGAATTTGTGCATGTGCTCGTAGCCTAATATAATCTCCTGGTCTGGAGTCAGAAGAAGCTACAATTTGAAGACTTTTACCAAATTATTTCCTCTTTTGTTACATGCGTGTTGGTTTGTTGTAAAGTTGGTTAGGAGTGCTGATCTAATAGTATTGTTAATTTTCTTTTTTTCCACTGTTGAAACTTTTTTGTTCCTTTTGTGTTTTTTTGCTTACTTCGAGTGTCAGACAGAACCAGAAATATGTTGCTGGATTTGCAGATACAGGGAGATAAGATTTAGGGGCTTGTCAGCTTTAGTTATAATGCACTAAGGGAAGGAATGAAATATTAGAATCCATCCTTCTTAATGTTGCTCTTTTTTTGCTATTTTTAGCATGCTTTTGTTGTGGTTGCTTGTTGTTAGGGCTCCACCTCAGATAAAACGTCCCAACCGAGAAGTAAAACCTTTGAGGAAAGAATCACCAGGACTGCAGCCCCGCGGGCCTGTGGGCAGAGCACACGCCGTGTCCAAGGGTGAGAAGTCTGCAGGCAGCCGCGAAAGGGAGTCCAGAGCTCGAGGAAGAGATGACAAGGTAAGAAGTGAGAATGCATGTGGAGGGAGGAGTTACGCAGCAGGTGGCAAAGGGAAGCATTCTTCGTTTTAGTTGCTTAATGCAGGTAATAATAAAAAGCCACAATAATCCGGTGCAAGAAAACTTGGTGCTTTCCTCTTGCCTCATGGACAAAGCATGTATCACGGAGATATTTAATAATGACTCCAAATTAAGGAATGTTCTGTCGTGTTTGCTCTGTCTTGATTTGAGGAGATGTTTTTGATAGGGAAGAAGCATGATGGCCTGTTGCTGGGGATTTCTTATCATCTCAGTTAGACCATGGGCTTGACTCTAATCTGTCAGTGTCAATCAGGCATAAAGTTCTTTCTCCTCCTTCTCCCCCACTCCTTTTTTTTTTTTTTTTTTTTTATTCGTAGAAAAAGTTATACCATCTCTTTGCTTCTTTCTTCTTGAAATAGAAGTGGTGTGGAAGAATGGCCAGTGCACTTAGGAGCTAATCTTAGCACTGGTGTTTGTTGTTTTAGTGCTTCATGTAAAAGGAATCCAATCCAGCACTTTTGTAAAGTTTTCCATGTGAAAAGTGCAAAAGTGAGATCAGCACCCTTCTCTAGACTTTGAGCATTATCAATGGAGTTCCACAGTACCATTGCCTCTGCCATACCATAGTAAAATTTAGGTGTGCGTAGAAGTCCAGGACAGTTCTGTAAGTGGATTGATGCTAGGTAAATTTGTGTCAAATTACTTGAAATTATATATTTGAAAATGGTGTGGGGGAGATGTGGTAAAAGCAAAATCTTAGCAACTTCCATTAGATTATGGAAAGGGTTTTGTATTTATTATAGCATTTAAGAAGATGCTTCTTGGAAAGGCTTCGTTGAAAAAATAAATACACTTAAATAAATTGGAATAAATTGGAGATTCTTTCCTTTGAAGACCCATGAAAAAGAAGCAGCACTGAAGTGAAAGAAAAGGAGAAACAGTGATTCACTATCAAGTAGTGATGTCAAAGACAGAACTGTTTTGTGGCTGAAAAAATTGTCTGTGTGCAAATTGCTGTTTCTGAGACACCTGCATTTTTAAATTTAACTGTGGAGTCAGTACCAAGAACTCAAGGAATCTGGTATAAATGATGCAGGTCAAGAGTGTACTGAAGTGGCTTTACTTTTCTGACAGAGATATGAGAGGCCCCTTCCTATGGGGGCACACAGATCTTGACAGATGAATACAAAAATATTTAGGCCAGTTTTCTTCCCCATGAATTTGGTTAGTGCCTTCGTGGCCTTTCTGTTACAGGTTGCTTCTTCACAGCACAGAAAGAACTCCGAGATACGCTTTTTCTGTCATGAATTGCTTTTCTGATGCGCAGGAAAAGTATTAAGTAATCCCAACCCTTATTATCGTCAGTAGGTAGGGCCAGGCACATTTTCAGCAGTGCCACTGAGTGACTGCACAGATCAAGTTTAATAATTTTAGAAATCTCTCTACCCTGGATCAGTAAGATTTAGAATAACAAGTGTGCATCCTGCAAGCTGTAAAATGTTTGTGAAGATCTGTGAAATTATTTACCGTTCTGCCAGCTCTACAGGGAACTGGAGTTGTGGTGTGTGACAGGTTTATGAGATGTGCTTGTGTAAGGCAGCCTTCAAAGCCTTGGCTCTAATGAGGGTGAACTCTGCTCTCGAAGCTTTCTGGTGATGAGCTTTGTAGGGCTTTACGACAAGGAGCCCACAACAACATGACTTGTACAATACTCGTCTCTGGGAATGATGCGGTTAGCAACACTACTGCTGTCAGATGGAGGAAGAGTCATGAAGGTGTTCCAGTTAATATGGTACATTTTAAACTCTGCTCTTGTCTGAATAAATTGGTCGCTAGGTGGCAGAAGGAAAATATGTCTACACTTCAAAAAATACCAACCCACATGCTCTTGTTTTCACCTTTGTCTAGTTACTTGGTGGTTATTTTACTTTCTTTGTCTGGGGTGTGTATGCAAAAATCACACCAGGTTACAAATTCTCATGTTGTATGACGATTTTTGTATGGGATCCATTTTATTTTGAAGAAAATTTTGAATGAAAGAGGAAGTAGCCAGGCATGGGAAGTGAAAGAAGTTAATGCAGCTTTCCATATTTTACACACAGGTATGAAAACAGGTTTAACCTCCCTTTCAGTTTTATCCTTTCTTAGTTTGCAAGTGTTTATGTTCTTCAGTTTCTGAACTAAAGCTACAAGGAGCTTACATATGTTGAATCAAGCTGAAGTATGTTGAATGAAACAGGTTTGGTAACTCTTCATGTTTGGTTAAAAACACTAGGGCAAAACTGAAGCTTCAAGCTAGGTGACCAGATACCTCTTTTCTCATAATAAATGTTTCGCCTCTGTAGTTCTTGGGTTTGGATGGTTGGCCAGGACTACTTAGAACGTGTAATGAACTTGGATGCCATATCCATTTCCTAAGATGTTGGTTGCAGTGTAATAGGTTGTAAACTGTCCTCTCTATAATATCACAGTGCAATATGTGTATTTATTTGGGATATTTTTCAAGATAAATATAGTTGTAGAATGTATGTTTTAGAAATGTTTTGCCTCATTTTACACGTGATGCCTTCTTTCACCGTTTCTCCTCCCCAGACCATATAATCTTTTCATTCTGACTGTAACCCTCTTGGGATAAGCAGTTTTAACCTGACTATGCCTGTAAAATGACCTCTTATAGTGCTATATAAAATAATTTTGAACTGCAACCCACCAGGTGGTGTTTATCCACTAAACCCTTATATTTACGTGTTCCTTTTCCTAAAATACTGCTTTCAAGTGCTTCCTCCTTCTTAGTTCCACTGGAAATTATTAGGCATGTTCTCAAGATACCTTCTGCTGGATTGTTGCCAAGAATTTTATGTTCTGTTCAGTAGTTCAGCTTAAAGAGGCAGCATGAATTCTACCTGTATGTCTTTCAGAAATTGCTAATACCATATCTCAGGACTAGAACATTTTTTTTGAGTACTTTAGATTATTTTAGATTGCCAGTGGATGAGGGCAGTAGATATTGCAAAGGATATGAAATAGCCATGGGCTGTGCTGCTGTATCAGTGAAGTGAATATTATGGAGATATGACTTAAAAAATTGAATTTTTTTTTGCTTGATTATTCTGATGTGCATCATCAGAAGCAAAGGCAGGATAGATTACAGAAATATGGATGTGAAATGAGGTAGTTGTATTTAGGTAGAGGCATAGACCTCCATACATTGGGACTGAAAGGCTGCATAATCTCCATCCCAGAATGATGAAAGAACTGGTAGTTGAAATTGCAGGACTGAGAGCAGAGATTTCCAGTGAAATTTATTGGGTCTGTTGTCTCATGTGTTTGGTGAGTTGTGTTGACATGCCTGCATTTCTAAGGGGAAAGGAAAAGTGATCCAGGGAATATGAGTTGTTAGTTTTACCTACACAGTGCGCAAAGTTTTACAACCAATTTAAAAAGGATGAAAAGTGAAACACTTGGGACTAGCTGGAAGGCAGAATAAAGTGAAATAGGATTTCTTAAGCAAAGGTGTTGCCTTTTCCAGCTCTTTCTTTAGAGTTCTAGGTAAATTCTTAAGAGAAAGAAATTAATCTACCTGGATGCCACATAGAAAGTAATTCAGCCTCACCTGTGTGCCTGGGAAGTTCATGGAACAGATCGTCCTAGAAGCTTTGCTAAGGCACATGGAGGACAGGGAGGTGATTCAACACAGCCAGCATGGCTTCACCAAGGGCAAGTCCTGCCTGGCCAGCCTAGTGGCCTGCTGTGATGGAGTGACTGTATCAGTGAACAAGGGAAGAGCTACAGATGTGATCTATCTGGACTTCTGTAAGGCCTTTGACATGGTCCTGGAGGCATATGGATTGATGGGTGGACTGTTGAGTGGATAAGGAATTGGCTGGATGGTTGCATCCAGAGGGTAGTGGTCAACGGCTCAATGTCCAGATGGAGATCGGTGAAAAGTGGTGTCTCTCGGGGGTCCATACTGGGACTAGTACAGTTTAATATCTGCATCAATGACATAGACAGCAGGATCGAGTGCACCCTCAGCAACTTTTCAGATGACACCAAACTGAGTGGTGCAACTGACACATGAGAAGAACAGGATGCCATCCAGAGGGAACTGGACAAGCTGGAGAAGTCAGCCTGTGTGAACCTCATGAGGTTCAACAAGGCCAAGTGCAGGATCTGGCACCTGGGTTGGGGCATCTCCCGCTATCAATACAGGCTGGGGGATGAGGGGATTGAGAGCAGCCCTGCTGAGAAGGACTTGGGGGTACTGGTGGCTGAGAAGCTTGACATGAGCCACCAGAGTGTGTGCTCGCAGCCCAGAAGGCCAACCGTATCCCGGGCTGCATCAAGAGAAGCGTGGCCAGCAGGTCGAGGGAGGTGATTCTGCCCCTCTACTCTGCTCTGGTGAGACCCCATCTGGAGTCCTGTGTCCAGCTCTGGGGCCCCCAGCACAAGAAGAACATGGATATGTTGGAGCGAGTCCAGAGGAGGGCCACAAGAGGGCTGGAGCACCTCTCCTATGAGGAAAGGCTGAGAGAGTTGGGGCTGTTCAGCCTGGAGAAGAGAAGGCTGCAGGGAGACCTTATTGCAGCCTTGCAATACCTGAAGGGGGCCTAGAAGAAAGATGGGGACAGGCCTGTAGCAATATGACACGGGGTAATGGCTTTAAACTAAAAGGGAGTGGATTTAAATTAAATGTAAGAAAGAAATTCTTTACTCTGAGAGTGGTGAGGTACTGGCACAGGTTTCCCAGAGAGGTGGTAGATGTCCCCTCCCTGGAAGTGTTCATGGTCAGGCTGGACGGGGCTCTGAGCAACCTGGTCTAGTTCAACATGTCGCTGCTCATTGGAGGGGTTTGGAATAGATGACCTTTAAAGGTCCCCTGCAGCCCAAACTGTTCTGTGGTTCTATGAATTAGTTAATCTAGTGAGTGTGTAGTGTGGAAGAATTGTAGGGTGGGGACGAATTAAGCAGCAAGAGGAACGTAAAGAAGTGGTACTGAAAGAAAAAGTGTCAGTCAACTGACATATCATTTATGAATTTCCTCAAGAGTAGAGACTGACTTTAGGTTTGTATTTAAATTAATGATCCTGGCACAAAAAAAAAGAGGTATTTGCTAATTAAATTTGCTGATGACACTGAGTTGGGAAGCACCATCACCCAGAGAGGAGAATGAGGCTGTTGTACAGGAGGAACTGGATGACTCTGTGGTGGAGTCATGGAAATGGGATAATGTTCAGCGATGTAGAGCAGCAGGCCATGTACTTGGAGACTACAACAAGAATTTCTGCTAGAAGCTGGGAGCTCAGCAGCAGAGGAGAAGAAACATTTGAAAGTATCAGCAGAAATCAGATCAGGCTGAACTTTCATTTCATAGAATCATAGAATCGTAGGTTGGAAAAGACCTCCAAGATCATCAAGTCCAACCGTCAACCCAATACCACCATGCCTGCTAAACCATGTCCCAAAGTGCAGTATCTACACATTATTTTAACGCCTCCAGGGATGGGGCTCAACCACTTCCCTAGGCAGCCTATTCCAATGCTTGACCACTCTTTTAGTAAATTTTTCCTAATATCCAATCTAAACCTCCCCTGATGCAGCTTGAGGCCATTGCCTCTCGTCCTATCACTAGTTACTTGCGAGAAGAGACCAACACCTGCCTCACTACTACCTCCTTTCAGGTTTCAGAGAGCGATAAGGTCTCCCCTTAGCCTCCTCTTCTCGAGACTAAAGAGCTCCAGTTCCCTCAGCCGCTCCTCATAAGACTTGTTCTCTAGACCCTTCACCAGCCTCATTGCTCTGATTTGGCACATCACCTTTTCCCAGTGATGATGGGAAGTGCTGGCTGCTGGAGTGGGGCACAGCTAGGTGCCACCTTTGGCTTTCACAGAATCACAGAATCACAGAATGGTAGGGGTTGGAAGGGACCTCTGTGGGTCATCTACTCCAAACCCCCTGCTGAAGCAGGGTCGCCTACAGCAGGCTGCACAGGATCTTGTCCAGGCGGGTCTTGAATATCTCCAGAGAAGGAGACTCCACAACCTCCCTGGGCAGCCTGTTCCAGGGCTCCGTTCTGAGGCAGGCAGACAGGGAAGGGGAGCTCCCTCCTTGTGCTTTTGCATCTGTAAGCGGTAATCGCAGCATATCCCCTCTGTCTCTCCAGTAGCTCCTCATCTTTCTTGAAGTGGGGAGCCCAGCGCTGGATGCAGTACTTCAGATGGGGCCTCACTAGGGCAGTGTAGAGGGGAAGGAGAACCTCCCTCGACCTGCTGGCCACACTCCTCCTAATGCACCCCAGGATCCCATTAGCTTTCTTGGCATCCAGGGCACACTGCTGGCTCATGGTCAACCTGTCGTCCACTAGGACACCCAGCTCATTCTCTGCAGAGCTGCTCTCCAGCAGGTCTGCCCCAAGCCTGTACTGATGCATGGGGTTGTTCCTCCCCAGGTGCAGGACCCTGCACTTGCCCTTGTTGAATCTCATCAGGTTCCTCTCTGCCCAACTTTCCAGCCTGTCCAGGTCTCGCTGAATGGCAGCACAGCCTTCTGGTGTATCTACCACACCTCCCAGTTTTGTGTCATCAGCAAACTTGCTGAGGGTACATTCTAACTGCTTTGGCAGCAAAGGGTGGAGAGTGCACCTGGCAGCTGTTGCTCAGTGTTTGTGTGTAGTGGAAAGAGCCTGCAGGAAAGCAAGATGTCTTCAGGACCCAGTTCTGGTCATTGCAGCTGCCAGGGTTGTCCTACGTGATTGATCTGTCTGATCTGTCTGAGGCTGAATGTAAGGAAGCAGTACAATATAGCTGTGGAAATTAAGGAAAATAGGAAACTAGGCCCAGTTTTTTTCAGGTGTTACCAGCAGAGAGAAGAGTTACCCATGCCATTGTAGGAGGCCCTGGTGAGACAGGAGCTGGAGTATTTTGCATGCATTTCAACAGCCGAGTTCAAGATGTGTTCATATTAGAAGAAGAAAGAAAAAAGTATTGCCAAAGTGAAGAGGTAATTGTGTTCAGCTTGTGTTCCAAGAGGGGACTTGCTTGGTTTGGTAAATGAAGGCAGAGCACACCCATGCTCCAAAGTGTATCAGGGTGGTGGACATGTCAACCAGACAACTGCTGAAATTAATGCACAAATTTGATACAGGAAATACATTCATTCTGGAAATGAGGTTTTTGTTCCAGTGGGTTAGTGCAGGTCTGATAGCCCTTCCTGATGGAAAGCCCAGGAAATTCTGGAAAGTGTCTAAGTCAGAACTTTGTTGGCTGAGGAGAAGGTTAATGTGATGGGATAGCCAAGGGGACTGGGTGGGAGCAGTCTGGCTGTTGGCATATGTTCTTAGAGAGAGGCCATCACAGCAGCTTTATATAAACCTGGTTTGGGAAAATAATATCACAAGAAGAGATGGGGGTATGACTGGAAAAATTGTGCTTACTTCTGCTGCCTGGATTCAGGTGACCATTTTAAAATCATTTTTTCTAGTCTGCACTCACCTGCTGACTGAGCATTGCATGTTGGACCAATTTGGGACCAACATTAATAATCTTATTACATGTGAAAACTGTAAATACTTTAAATATTGGTTTAATTCCAGAACTGAAAAAAATGAAAACGCTCAGTGTCACTAACATGATAGCCGAGGTGATGCTGAAAGCGTGTCTCCCGGTTGGCCGCCCTTCTCGCTCGGTTGTCGAGCCGTGCCTCGGGGAGCAGGAAAAATAACTGTCCCAGGAAAAGTAAGTGTCGCAGGGCCCGGTAGCTGGGGTTTTGGGGCTCGGCCCCACATGCAGCAGCGAGGAGGGCCTGTGTCCCAGTGTGCTGGGAGAGGAGGTGCTCCTTGCCACAGGGTCTTTCTTTCCACTTGTATTTCTGTTTTTTTCTGCTGCTTTGAGCTGCGTCACAGCCGGGCCCGGTGTCACCTACATTGCCCGGGCTGCGTGTTCACCGCCTTTCTGGCCCAGCAAACGGGCTGCATGCAGGTCTGCAAGCCGGGCTGGGGCGTGGGGGCTGGAGCTGCTGCTTCAGCCTCCTCCACGGTGCACGGCAGCCACCCGCCCAGCCTTCTCCTGCCTTTTAAAGCTGGCCTTAACTCTGTATCACCCAGAAAAAACCAAAATATCTGATTTGCTTTGAGATGTGCATTCTTCCGCTAGGAAAACCAGTCCGTTGCAGAGGGAGAGAAGCGTGTAACAAAGACAAACAGCAATTGCCTCTGGTTTCATTACCATTTTTTTTTCCTTTTTTTTTGTTATGGTTACATTTGGATTCCATTTCTCTCTTCTGAAATCTTCCAAACTCTGCAGAGCTTTCCTCTCTGTTTCCTTTTTACGCCAGACCATTACATTTTTGACATCAGCTTTTTGTCTAAACACAACTTTCAGCTTCATTTCCATGGCAAAAAATTGATCTGGGAGTACTAAACAACACAGAGTTCACTTGGAAGCAAGAAATAAAAATAGTGGGAAGATAAACTGCTCCCTCACAGGCCTCGTGGGCAAACGGCAACTGGGAGGGGTGTAATCACTACCTTTTTCTTTTTCCACTGCGAGGTTATTTGTGGGTCTCCAGCTGCCTCTCGGCCCGCCTTTGCCTAGGCTGCTTTTGTCCAGCCAGCTGGGATTCTTTAACTTGCTGCTGATAGTGTTTAGAAGCTTAGTTAAGAGTCCTAAAGTAGCTCCCTACTCATCCTCCTTCGTTAAAACAGCGCAGCTGCTTTTCAGGCACCACTGAACGCTGCCGTTGAGCTGGGGGGAGAAGCGGTTTCCCTCTGAAGTGGGAGAGGAGGAGCGTGAGCCCTGATGCTTCAAAGGGACAATGTGACTTCACCCCCATAAGCTCAACGGCACTGTGGCAGCATTAACCAGAAACTCCAAGCCGTTTGGGGCAGTGGCAGTGTGTGGCTTGGTTGCTGAATGAGCATCGGCACACTGCAGAAATTATTGTAGTTCAAAGAAGCCTGGGTGACTTGGGAGCTGCTTTAGGGCTTTCAGTGCTACCCTTAAATAAATATGACCTTTTAAAAGCATGTGAACTGTTTACAGAGCTGGCCTGTGAACGAGAGGAGGGAAATAGAGCATTTACAGTCGAGGAAAGGAGAAATTGCTGGGCAGGAACACTTTAGCTGAACAAGGGGAGACAATCCTCTTGGTTTTCTGCCATCAAAGACAATGGATGTAACAGCTTTTGTGTTCCTTTTCAGTGATGATGGGGTGCCAGTTGTTTAGCTCTAGCAGGTAGTGAGGCAGGTGTAACATCTTCAAAATATGCTTGAGATGCCCTGGTCTTCAGCCAGGAGTTAATGTAGCATGAAGTCGTGATGCAGCCTGCTTCGTGAGGCTATTTCTGCATTTGTGCCTTCAGCTGGCCAGGAAGTGTGTCAGTTGTCTAAAGAGCGGTTTAGCACTGTTGAGAGAGTCTAGTTTGCTGCTTTAAAACCAACCAACCAACCAACCAACCCAGCCACCGTGATATGTAATGAGCTCTGATGGGACTTTATCACTGTGAGCTGCATCTTTGAAGGAAGCATGGTGCTGTTGTGGTGGCAGCAACCACAGGTGTTTGGGGACTCTTTGTGGAGTGTAGGGTGTCAACATGTTGGTTTTGCTGGCCATTGTGGTGCAAAGGTAGCTGTGTTAGAGCTTGATATGTTCTTGTGGCTTCTACAGAGGTGAACCGGACAATATTGCTGTATATTGCTAGTAAAGGATATGTTGAAAGAATAATGTCCTTATGAGCCTGTA